CCTCTCGAACATGTTGCCATCAATTTGCCGTTCTTAAAATTAAAAATCACACGAGTTCAATCCAATAAACATAATGCTGTCGCACCTTGTTCCTAGTTTTTCAAAATTAGCTGCTTCAACAATTGTTGGCAACATAACAGCAACCTCACGGACAGTTGGCTATCTGGGTAGTAGTTGACTACAGGTGGAAGGCATTATTGACCACGACTGTACATTAACTTACAAAAAAAATATAATTACAGAAAAACCTAAAAATCTTATTATTTTATAAAAAAATATTCAGTATAAGTTGTGATCATCAGTTAAAGAAAAATCGAGGATCTTATCATTTTTAATTTAACAATAACTTTAGTTGAACGGAAGAAATATAAAAAATATTATATAAATACTACGAAACTTCTTTGTCATTTCTTTTATCTTTTATTATATGATTATAAATGTATCAAAGAAATAAAAATACAGTTGTGTATCGTTGTGAACCATCTCTATGAGTTTTGATGATTTAATTCTTTTTTATATTTCTTTATTGTTATCAACTATTGCTTTTCTATGTAGATGCAAATGGTTTAATGACTTCAGAATTAATCTAATGCATAATTTTATATACGTTATTACTATGAGAATGTTGTCAGCTACCAAAGTTGCATCGTATATCATGACACCCCTAACAGCACATGATATCATTCGAATATTCTATACTCATACTGTGAACATACGTTACAGATATAATATACCGAGAACATTCTGTAAAATCACTTATAGTTTATTATTTCTCGTATATTCTCAGAATATACTTTTACTATCTTTTATAGTATATTATTTCTCGTATATTCTCAGAATATACTTTTAATATCTCTGCATGATATACCAATAATATACTTGGGCGACGTTCTATAGATATACCAATAATATACTGGGCGATGTTCTATCCCAAGTAGCAGAGTGACGTCAAAAGACGACATAATGACGTCTATTTTTGGTCTAAAACGTCGGCGACTAATAATTGATGTTTAAAAGACGTCATTTCTTAGACTAGTCAAAGACGTCATTTTGAAGACATCCTATGGTCGTCTAAATAAAGTCTTTTTGTAACTAGTTTTAAGATTATAGTTCATTTGCTTACCGCTATGCGGCGCGCTATTCACTATCTATACCCGTATTCAAATTTTTGTCATGAGCGTATATAAAGCGTGCAAAATGCGGTTAATAATATTGTAATTATTTTTATCAGTTTAACTTCTGATGCGATTCCCGTACTGGGAAATTCAGATACTGAACTGATTTTAGAAAAATCGGATTCAATTTTTTAAATGGAACTGCCTACTTTTTATTGCATATTCTTGTAGCTTATCTCGAGAGCTTCAATCAATTAGTGTAAGTCAAGTGTGTAAATCAATTAGTGTAAATCAATTAGTGTAAAGAAAAAACAAATAATTTTTTTAAAAAATACACTGTAAATAATAACATACTTTTTCTTAAAAACAATTATTTCTTTTTACTAATTGATTTGTCTCATTATTCTGTACATAAAAGTATTACGGTAAGATGATCGAAAACTAAATATTTTACGAGATATTTTATTTTTTATATCAAGATATGTCAGAATAAAATATAAAATAACTCAAAAAGTACTTAATGAAAAAATACTTTATTATAGTGTTTTAAAAAGCTCTCAAGATAAGCTACAAGAATATGTAATAAAAAATGAGGAATTCCATTTAAGAAAACATCGACCACATTGACCTCACCTTGAAAAGACCACTTAAGGTCAAATCCATATTTTTATCATGTG